TCTTGTCTTGCCATGTGTCCTTCCACTCATCCACTTTGTCTTTCATATTCTCCATCATCTCCATAAACTTCTTTTAATTTCCAAATGAATAAGAAGATGCCACGTGTCTTGCAATTATATAAATAATAAATAATAATAAAAATTACAGATTTATGGTGCTAACACATATACAAGTTACGACATTTTGTAGTGTTATACTGCTTCGTGTTATTACCAAACGAAAGATGGTCATAACCAAACACCACTTATGGATTATCAAAAAATTCATTGCTCAAAATCAAAATAACATCTACAATAGATTATAATCCAATCATAACTAACAATACAATGAATCATAATTAAGTCATAACTAATATCACACTTGGTCATAATAAAAAACCATTAAAGATTGTAATCGAAGCAAATAATATACGTTTTTTTTAAGTATATATTATAGAATTTTCGATATATCATATATATATATAATTTAAGGGTAATTTTAGAGATGATATATATATATATATAATTTAAGGGTAATTTTAGAGATGAAACACCACACACTAATCAAATGATGAAAAAATTTCATGATATTATTCATAATTTAAATCAGTATTAATTATGAATTATTGTAATTTTTTTATGAGAGTCATTGTGATGGTGATCAAGATAATTACCAAATTAAAGGTAATTGCGAGATCTACTTTGATATTTGATATCCTATCATAGTGAATTTATTTGTGATTAAAGAGAATCTTCAGTTATGTTTAAAATAATATTAGTTATGATTTAATAATTTAAATCCACTTTTTGAATCTACTTATTTTCCGGATCAAAGACATAAGTGGGTTTTTTCAAAGTAACATTTTAATACCATTCACCAATGTTGTGGTCCCAAAAAGCATAAATAATAGATCTAATCACTAAGAAACAATAAGTAACAATTATATGTGAATACCATCTAATGTGATATTTTATAATATTTATATTGATTATATTATTTAATTAGTTGCATTCTTACCCGTCTCGCCACACAAATTTTTCTTATATTTTTTTATTTAAAAATCACTGTCACAGAAATACTTAAACAAAAAATTTATTAAATATTATTATAATGTGAAATGATACAAAAGTGTAAATCCAAATCCTCACTAGCTTTATATATATATATATATATATAAATAAATGTTGTTAATAGTATTATAAAGTAAAATGATACAAATGTAAATCTTAACCCTAACTTGTACATATATATAAAGGATATAATAGAATTTTAAATGTAAATTAAAGGCATGTTTGATTAGGACGATTAGAGTATGGGATTGAAATTATTAATTCGTGGGCCCAATTATCCTACGTTTGTTTTAACATTTTGGTTTAACATTATTAATCCAATGGATAATTAATTCAACAAATTTGTAGGATTATTAGTAATGGGGTAGAGGTAGGGGTAGGAGTAGGGGTAGGATTATTAATCCAATAGATATTAATCCAATTGGATAGTGAATACCACACTAATTTAATAAGATTATTAATACTTTATTATTAATCTTGTGAATCAAACATAACCTAAGAGTATATGCGTAATTGTATAAAATGAGGGGAGGTAGGTGAAATCTAATAACTTCCCAATACCATCGAGAAGTGATCAAATTCTTGGTTCCAGTTGAGCATCTCCAACAACTCTCTTTTCTTTATTTTTTTTTAACTAATTTGGGATGCCTTTCATAAAATTCAACTCTGATCTATGTAAACATAAATATTAGAGATTCAAATTTTTTTATATAATTCATAAATGTGGGTCTTTTGTGGTAGGGACACACCAATATAAGTATTGTATAGAATCTTTGATAATTTTTTTAAAAAAATATCTATTATTGCTCTAATTGTAAAGACCTATTGTAGCCTCCTCCTCCATTACTTTTTATTTTTTATTTTTTGAGCTGAGCCTATCTAATTGTGTGCGCATTGCAACTGGGCCTTTCCCAAACTATAAAGATCTTCATCTCTCTTTCTTTCTGTGTGTCCACAATAATTGAGAGCAGAGATAAGTACAAAAAAGTGTAGTAAGAGTTTCGGGTGCCTCTGCAACTCCCAAGTCTCCAACAGGAAAAAGAGGACCATTTTGTGAGTCGATTTCTGACCACACTGTTAAACAGATACTCAGTTGGAAACCACCGACAGAATAGATCAAGCTCGAATGACCTATCACAGAAAGAAGAAATTCTGGCGGTGGCTCGTTCACTCGGGGACACTCTGACGATCAAGTCAGTTATCTCTCAAAGATAGCAAAAGTGCTTAATTCACTATTCAGAATATAAAAAGCGCATCTTAGACTCATGAGAGTACCTTTCTTTTATAGTCAACACTGACCTAATCCCAATAGAAGCCTAACTCCAATGGATTCTGCCTCAATGCTAATCCTGGACTCCTAGTTAGATTGAGATAAACTCTCAAAGAGTCTTATCTTCATCTAAACTGAAATCCTCTCCCAATCTAGGACTCTTGTCCCTTATCCGTGTATTCCGGATTTCGGTATTTTCGCAGATAACCTCGGCCTGGCCGGGATTACCTCGACATCATGACCAGGACACGTGGCACCTCAGCTGACACTTCGGTGCCACTTCGGCCACGTGTTGTCATTCAAAATTTATGTCCCCATAACTACCCCCTAGGTTCTATTACCTCGGCATCCTGAGGTGATGAAACTTATATCATTTCTTCCATTTAGCACATCGGTTAAGCTCGTTTTATCCTTCATTACCGAGGTCATAATTCGTTGGTTCAATATGACCAAGACTTATAGGCTGTTTTTTTTTTTAATGCTTTAGAACCAAACTTGGTTATTGGTTCTAAGTTTTTCAGCCAAGATCACCTTCCTAGCCGAGGTCCTGTTTCATTAAATCACGAACTCCAAGAGTTTCAACAGCCGTATGAGCTGTCACGCACAGTATGTCAACCATTTTTGCCACGCGTCTTTCCTCTACTGAACTGTACCTGACACGCGCCATTATGTCACATCACGTCTACGTGCGCCGTCTGACAAGTACGTTGTCCTAGGCACACTAATTGCCATTTTGCCGCCATTCTTCGTGTTTGATCAAAATCACCTCTCTCTCTCCGTCTTTTCACTTCACACTTTTTGATCTCTGTGCTTCAAACTTTCTCTCTCTTTACTCTCCCAAATCCGCCATTGTTTCAAGCTCTCAAGCTCTGCAACCACTTCCATTCTTTCCCTTCGGCGAAGCTTTTGCTGATCTTTTCCGATTGCTGCCATCATCTGACTCTGGCGTACTCAACACCGGCTTCACTCATCTGGTAAAGCCACTGCTTCCCTTCGTTTCAGTTTCTTGTTTTACTTCAAACTGTTACATTCGTATACTGCTACTGTGACTTCATTCATGTTCTTGAATCTTCATTTATGTTATAAATTTTTCCTTGCTTGCAATTTGTCTCTAGGTATACACACGTATACACATTCTGTTCATACACTTGGTTTTTTGCCACTATTTTTGGTCTCACACCCTTGTATACACTCTGTCACAGTGTTCTTGATAATTCATCACTATTCTTGATTCTGAATCATTGTTCTTGTTTATGTTTTCTGTGTCTTTTCCAAATTCTTGCCTTCAATTCTTGTTTCTATAGTCTTAGGCTTAGGATTTGTTGTAGAACTCACAAATTTTAGGAAAAACTGAAACAAACTTCACTTAGATTCTAAAAAATTCTCGACCCAGCATTCGTCTAGGTTTTGCTGAGGTTCCTCAAACCTTCACAAAACATTTCCTTCTGAAATCCAACACCTTCGATGGAGGTATAGGGTAGACACCCAAACTAAGTTAGAATATTTTAGGCAGGAGTTTTCCATCCTAGCCGACGTTCATCTGAGGTTGGCAGGGGAGGAAGACTCCATCATGCCTGACAGGAATTCATGCCTTTTCCTGTCGTAGCCTTCACAGAATGTGGACTCAGGTTTCCACTTGACATCCTTTTCCGAGAAGTCCTCCATTACTACAAATTAAACCCAATGCAGCTTGCCATTAACTCTTACCGAGTTATCAATGGTATAATTGCCTTAGCCAAAAAAGAGAACACTAGGGTTACTCTTGCCGACATCCAGTACTGCTATACCATGTGTGGCCTTAAGTCAGAAAAAGGCTACATCTACTATCTTAAGCCATGGTTGACGCAATACAAACTCATCGCCGACGTCCCTGATTCCAACAAGGGCGCCGGGGACGATTATTTCATCTTCTCGGGCATCTGGGAATTCTCACCAGATGAGGACCTCCATCTCTATCCCTTGAGCCGATCAGTTTTTAAAGAGGGTAATGGTAAGAGCCAAGAGTTACCTTACTTGCTCTCAAGTCTTTAACACTTTGTTCCTTCTATATATGTGCTGACGTCTGTTTTTTCTTGTAGCTCTCCCTCAACCACTAAAGGATTTTTGCAAGTCCTTTTTTCCCAGCAAGGACTTCAAAAAGCTGTTGAACTTGCCAATCAATCAGTGCAAGGCTCATCTGCTCTTGAATTTTATCCCGACTTACAAATTTGTACTTCCCGACGTCCCAAGAAAAAGCAAGTCTTTAGCAACAACTCCACAAGCTGAATCGTCAAGGCTTGACCAAGGATCAACATCTGATCTAGCAGAGAAGCCATCAACCTCGGCTCCACAACTAATCCCACCTTCTCAACGCAAATGCTAGCGTAGAACTGTAGCCACCGTCGAGATGGGTCGTTAGAAGGCAGTAGCAGACGACCTTCTAGCCCACATCCCTAACACTGTCACCGCACAACCATCACCATCCCAGTCTCAGCCAAAGTCGAAACCAAAAAGACTGAAGAAAGCCGAACCTAACGCAACGGTAACTTAGATTGACTCTGAGGACACCTTGCCGATCTCAAAAATTACTGAGGCGGAAAAAAATGCCTCTGCTGCCGAAAAGAGGCTTGCCTAGGTTGCTTCCTCTAAGTCAATGCGGTCAAAAAGGCCGAGGTCTGAATCCGCGACAACCTCGGGGTCCATGAAATTCGATGCCCCGTGGGCCTCTCCAATCACTATCGAGGACAAGCTGGTCAAAGCCGACGACAGTGCGACTGACATTGAAGTCGGCATTGCCCTCTCTACGGCTTTGCTTCTCCTAAAAGACCTCGAACGCAACGCCGAGGTCTGCGAATATGAATACTTTGCTCTAATGTTGCAGCATTCCGCACAAGTAAGCCCCTAACACTTGGTACTTTACATTCTTTATTTCTCATACTTAGAAAATTTTACTAACTTTTGTTCTATCCATTTCTTCAAGGCGATCCAGTACGCCCACTCCTTCGCAATGCAAGTCTTTAACATTAAGAAAGAGTTCACTAACAAGACTAAGGAGGCTGCTAGCTTGCAGAAGACCATTAACAAGGCTGAGGCCAAGATGAAGACTTTAATAAGCCAGGTCGAGGAGGCCAAAAAAGCTAAGGATGAGGTCGATGAGAGGGCTGGGGCCGCTGAGGCCATTACCAAAGTCCTCGAAGCCAAAAAGAAAGAGGCCGAGGCAAAGACCGCCGAAGCCCAGGCTGAGCTCATTGCTGCCCTGGCCACGAAGGACGCTGAGATCAAAACGGCGGATGAGAAGGCGTATGCCGAGGGGGTAGTCGGCGTCAAGGAAGATTACAAGAAACAAGTGAAGTAGGCATGCAATAAGGGTTTCACCTTTGGTTGGATGGCTGCTCTAAAGGAGTTGGCTGTCCCTGAAGACTCTCCCCTAAAAAATGCCAGTAACCTCGTCCTGCTATTCCCTCATACTCCAAGCCAATCTGAGGGCGTGGTTGAGTCCGAGGAGGAAGCTGAGGCTGAGAAGACGAAATAAGCTGCTGGGGCCAAGTCCCCAACTCTGAATGAGCAAGTCTTGGACTTGACTCAGGATGAGGATGACGAGGTCTCAAAAGAGGCCACCCCCGAGAAGACAACATCTGACGAGCCTATCGTCGAGAGGAGCATCGGCCAGACTCTCCAAGAGATCGATGTCAAGCTCGAGGTTGAGAAGGCTGCTGAGAAGTCTTCCCAACTGTCTTCTGGGGCCGAGACACAATCCGCCACCGACGTCGAGTAGTCCATTTTGATGCTTTAATCTATTTCTTGTACTTTGTACTTTTTTTCTTACTTTTAAAACAATGTAAGCTTTAATTTGGCCGACGTGCCACTTTTGTAATCTGAACAATTATCCTTCAATGTCAGGCCGAAGTGCTTTCTTTTCTTATCTGAATGTACTTTCAAATTTCTTTTTTCAAAGTGATTGCATGTTTGTCTTCTTTTTGTATGATTCTATACTTTGAATAATTTGCATGTCTTCAACGTGCACCTTAACTGTGTAATCTTCTCAGTGTGGAACACTTCGGTTATACCCACTAACAGTTTGTCTCGGCTTTGACCTAATACTTGAAAATATTTTTTATAATATTTTCAAAAGTGTTATTTACAACTTGCCACTCCACTCTATACCTATCAGAACCTCTGTTTTCCAATATCTTCTAAGTCTTGGCAAAATGGTAATTTCGGCAAATACGTAAGTACTTCTTTCAATACAAACTTGGCTTAACTTGTAAACTTTTCTTAAAAATTTCAACAAGTGTTAAACCAATCTTCCTTTAGCATAACCTCAGCTTAACTTCAACTTGTAAATTTTTCCTAAAATTTTAACAAGTGTTAAACCAATCCTTGGCTTGTAAATTTCAACTCCCAGGCATCATTCTCCAGCCCTCTGCCCCCTAATGTGAACTTAAGTTCCACTTGGGTTCTCATTAAGCATGTGGCTTTGACCTTGTCGCCGAGGTTAGATTCAAACAAAGACTGGCCAAGGTTACCAACCTTGGTCTCTTTGTTAATCTGACTGACATGTTCTTAGTTCCAATCTGTGTCTGACTCTGCCGATATGACAAGTCCAGGTTAATCCAACTTAGTTCTACTCTATAATGTGCAAGTATAATTCTACTCTGCCATATGATAAATCTAAGTTATTCGTCATGTTTCAATCAGAAACATCGCCAACTTAGTTCAATTTTATTATATGCAAGTATAATTCAACTCTGCCATATAATAAGTCTAAGTTATTCGTCATGTTTCAATCAGAAACATCGCTAACTTAGTTCACTCTATTATATGCAAGTATAATTCAACTCTGTCATATAATAAGTCTAAGTTATTTGTCATGTTTCAATCAGAAACATCGTTAACTTAGTTCAACTCTATTATATGCAAGTATAATTCAACTATGTCATATAATAAGTCTAAGTTATTCGTCATGTTTTAATCAGAAACATCGTCAAGTGTCTGGCCAGTCACACTACACAAGTTTAAAAATCAAGCTAAAACTTTATTATTACTTCGGCTAATAACAAAAAACTTAAAAAACAAGAAATTCTAATGATTGGAAAAACTTTAGATTGCAAGTATTCCAAGGTCTTGACAACTCTTTGCCTTCACTGTCCTCGAGCCGATATGCCCCATTGCTCAAGACCGAGATGATTTTATAGGGTCCCTCCCAATTCGGACCAAGCTTGATGTCACGACCTAAACCCGCCCCTATGGGTTTAGCATCGTAACCGGTCAATAATACATGATTACCAAAGGCCTGCTTAATAGTAAGGACAGTAATACAGAATGAGGGGCTGGCTGAAGCCAAAACAATAAATAAAAAATGTCCAATGAGCTGTGAAAACTTGAATACAAAAAGACTTTATGCACAAGCCACATTAATGAACCAACATATATACATACGTCATATACACAACAACCGGGTTAGGGACCAAGTCCCTTCAACATAACTGTACAGTCAAGTCTTAAACACTTATTACAAAACAGAGACAGAAGGGTGGAATTGAGACACCCCAGAGCAGTTCTAGCTTGAACAGACATGGAACCTCAAAGTGAGGCACAAAGGTTGGCTTGACAAAACGGGTGCTTAACTTGACGCTCCTAGCTTCGGCCTGGTGTTTGGACACCTACATATAAATATAAACAGTGAGCTAAAACCCAGTGAATAACATATACGTAAAGGGGTTAAGAATGAATGTCTTTTCAGTAATTAAAATAGTCAATTGTATCAGTAAAACAGTTACTCAATCAGTGGTTCATATTTCATGCCATAATAGTTATTCAAAAACCATAATAGTCATATGTGGTAAATCTAATAGCAAAACAGTACAGTAGGTCTTGACAGACCAAACAGTCAGTTGATGGCCATCAAACAGTAGACAGTAGTGGTCCCAACATTGGAACCGACAGAGATCTCTGTAACAGTAGCAGTAACAGTAAGTTGCTATAGATGCCACGAATACAGTTTACAAATAGGACAAACATTCATTCAGTAAACGATGCCATTTCAGAAAACAGTATAATCAATCGTTCAGAAATAGTTATAATTGAACGTATCTTTACAACATCATTACTCACAGAGTACTGGGCTACAGACAGGCTAATAAGCGTCCTCGGATGCCAACCCTACACAGTTGCAGAATGAACACACACTAAGTTACACTCTTGGGATTAATAACTTAGCCCCTTAGCTTGACTTGGTGTGGTTCTATAACATTATCCTCATTAAGATGCCTTAAACATGGCCTAGGAATGCTTAGGATGAAATGAGGATGCAAAGATGTGCTTTAAAATACTTTTCAAAATTTGCTGAAAATAGGGGTCTCGCTCAAGCGTGGCTTTCTTCGCTTGAGCAAGCTTGCTAAAATAGAGGGGTCTCTCAAGCGTAAACTCCTTCGCTTGAGCGGTCTATAAAAATGCAAAAGTACTGGATGTTGAAAATCCCCGTTCGATGCTCGCTCGAGCGTGAGACACAACCCTTCGCTCGAGCATTTGCATGTACAAAAACCTGAGAGCTCTGAATAGAATGATGGTCGCTCGAGCGGAGCTCTGAACAGAACGATGGTCACTCGAGCGTGGAATCCTTCGCTCGAACGTGGAAGCCAAAATCTGGAATTTCCAGATTTGCCTCCCAAGCTCGAACCAAGCATTCAACACATCAAAACTCAACCTTTTGGGCCAATTTTCTAGAAAACACTTGGAAACTTATAATACAACATGTTTTGAAGATCAATTTGTAAAATCAAGCCCAAAGGTAAGCCAATTGAACACAATTTCAAAGAAACTTTCATGAACTAAGTAAGAACATAACATGCATGAGCTCCTATGAATTCCAATGCTCTAAAACAAGATGAAATGCAAGATTGAGCTCAAGAACATGACCAATTCATGGACTTCTACCAAAATATGAACATGCATGAAGAAATTCCCATGAAAACAACCTCAAATTCAAGAATATATATATACATGCATGCATGGACTCTTAATTTAACATATCAAGCTAATTCTTGACTCAAATCACTAATTTCTCATGAACCATGCATGTAACAACTCAAATACATAAATAAAAGGATGAATTCCCTACCTTAGGTCATGAATTCTAGGTATGGAAGCTCAATTTTGCAATCTTCTCCAATTCGTCTAATGTTCTTAGCCAAATTTCTTGTTGAATCAATTTTCTCCTATCTCCCTCTCTCTCTCACGGTTATGGTCTAGAAAGTGGCTGAAGGAATGATGCATCAAGTGTGATATGAATTACACACCAAACAATGCCTCTAAAGTGGCCCACTAATAGTAAAAATGCAAATAATCAAACTAATGTAATTTAATTTTATTTAATCTAATTAATCATTCCAAATCAAATTTTAATTAAACCTACCATAAAATCACATAAATTCTAACTAGCATAAAACACTAATCAATTTCTGATTCGGTCGCCGATAAGGCCTTCAATTCGCAGTCCGAAATCAAAACATGAACAGATCATTTAATGACAAACAGGTAGAAATGCAATTAGGCAACATTTTCATGCAATCAGTTCAGAATTTCAGCTTAATCAACTACTTAACATACTCAATCACAATTTAGCACTAATCAGAGGTGAGGGTTGTCACATTAGCCATCTTAACATGAACTAGGATCGTGCATTATTTATAACTAGTTCTTTGTTTTGGCTCGGAGTACATTGTGAGTGTTTACGCTTTAGCATACTGCATGTGTGTTATCGATTACCATGAAAGCATGCTTGCCATGAGGCTAATCTCCCCCTCTCTCTCTCTCACGGTTATGGTCTAGAAAGTGGCTGAAGGAATGATGCATCAAGTGTGATATGAATTACACACCAAACAATGCCTCTAAAGTGGCCCACTAATGGCAAATATGCAAATAATCATACTAATGTAATTTAACTTTATTTAATCTAATTAATCATTCCAAATCAAATTTTAATTAAACCTACCGTAAAATCACATAAATTCTAACTAGCATAAAACACTAATCAATTTTTGATTCGGTCGCCGATAAGGCCTTCAATTCGCAGTCCGAAATCAAAACATGAACAGATCATTTAATGACAAACAGGTAGAAATGAAATTAGGCAACATTTTCATGCAATCAGTTCAGAATTAGTTTAGCACTAATTAGAGGTGATGGTTGTCACACTTGCCCTCTTTGGAATCCTTCTTGTTGCCGACGACCTTTCTCAGGACGAGGTCACAAACTTGGAACTCTTGTGGGTTGACCTTCTTATTATAAACCCTGGCAAGCTGCTGCTAGTATGCCCCCAGCTGAATTGCTGCTTTCTCCCTTCTTTCTTCTAGTAGATCCAGATCTTGGGCCAGGAATGTCTTATTGGTCCTATTTTCTACCCCCTGGGTTTTAATCCCTAGGATACTGACCTCCAGTGAAATGATTGCTTCTGTGCCATAAGCCATGGCAAATGGGGACTCTCCAGTCGATCTTTTCGGCGTAGTTTGATATGCCCAAAGTACATTGGGCAACTCTTCTAACCACTTTCCCTTTGCTGTGTCCAGCCTTTTCTTAATCCTATCCAAGATAACCTTATTGGAGGCTTCCGCTTGACCATTACTCTGAGGAAAGCTTGGGGTAGAGTAATAGTTCTTGATTTTGTAGTTTGCACAAAAACACTTCATTAGCTTACTGTCAAACTGTGTACCATTGTCAGCTATTATTGCCCTTAGGATCCCAAACCTGGTGATAATGTTTTTCCATATGAAGTTC